CTGCCTTCCACTTTCATATTCTCAACCAGTTCTTCCCTATTTGTTGGGATCAAATCTAGAACAGCTTCCCCCCGGTAGCTTGAGCAAAGATCTTTCAGGTGGGCAGACAAGGGAAGCCAGCACTTTGTACTTTTGTGGTGGGTCCCAGCTGAGAGAAAGTCGGATGTGGCTGGACAGAAAACAGACTAGTAAGAACAATGAGTAGTCCTGTGGCACCTTAGTATCATGAGCTTTCATGGGCAAAACCCACTTCCCAAGAAATCTACCTTGAATCAAAGCTGTAGCATAGTAAGTTAGATGTTTGCCATTGTATTTTTGTGTTTCTATCCTTTCTACCATTAGTCCTCTTACTTGGCATCACTTAAAACACATTTATTAACCACAGGATGTAAGTTATTTTTACTAGAAACCCACACAATGCTGTGTTTGAAGGGAAAGGTGTATTTATCCCAGTTTAATTAATAGGCTGTGATAAGCTTTTGCCTCTTTAAAGGAGGAAAAAAAACCTTACTATTTGTCTGAATGATCCAAAACTGGGCATGTCAGGGCACATGGCTCTGGGGAAATTCAGGAGTGGGAGTGTGTTGGAGAAGTAACTAATCCAGTGGGGCTGTTGTATGGTAGGCAGGTTGCTGGAGCCAGAGTTTCTGTTACCAGGTTGTACAACACAGAGACATTCAGGCTACGTATACACTGCAGGCTTTTTGCGCAAGAACGGCTGTTCTTGCACAAGTAAATTTAGGGTAAAGCGTCAGAAAAGAGGGCTTCTTGCGCAAGAGTTATTCCTCTCCCCATGAGGAATAAGCCCTCTTGTGCAAGAGCTCTTGCGCAAGAAGGCGGTGTGGACGGGTAACAGGGGTTTCTTACATAAGAAACCCCTATGGCTAAAATGGCCATCAGAGCTTTCTTGTGCAAGAGAGCATCCACACTGCCATGGATGCTCTTGCGCAAAAGCACATGGCAGTGTGGATGCGCTCTTGCACAAGACCTTGTGTGCAAGAACTCTTGTGCAAAACAGTTCTTGCGCAAGAAGCCTGCAGTGTAGCTGTAGCCTCAGGGTGTGACTGGAATGTTTTGTCTGTTGGTGTCCAAGCTGTGAGCTACAGCAGCAGAGCATTTCAGGGTTTCAGAATTACAGGGCACATAATGACAATCCCTCACTGCTCTGCATAGTGCACCAGACCATGACATCTCACATCTCTGCTGGTGAGAACTTGGCCCTCCATTGATGGATCCATTTTGCTTCTTGGGCCCACTGAACCTGACATTGAGAGGAGTCACTGCCTTGGTTTCTGCAGCTGGTGGCAGATGAGGACCAGCAACACGCTGCACACAGAGCAGGAGCCAGCTGGCATGCTGCTCACGGCATGCAGTACAACAAAATGGAGCGCAGCTGGCGCACTGCCCACAGGTCAAGGAAAAGCAGAGCAGCACAACACAGAACAGTGTCAAGTGCCAGCTGGGCTGTACCTTGCTTCCAGTCCAGCTTGGTTCAGGAGTCGGGACCTGAAGTTCGAGTTTTAAAAAGTTGGAAAACTTTGTCCAAAAAAGTCTTTCCACTGTAGCACAAACTATACTCAAAATAGTGACACACCCACTGCAATACACTACGGATGTGAATGGTTAATCAGTAAGCATAATAGATTATAGTTAACCACAGAGTTGTTGACTCGAGTCCCACGACTTGAATTTGAGTCCGACTTAAGTTGCCTAGGTGACTTGACTTGAGACTGGACTCGGGTTCATTGTTTGTGATTTGAAATTCGACTTGAGACTTGCTAATTTTGTTAAATTGACTTGGTGAAAAAATTGTCCAAAAATGCCGATATTGATGGCTTGTACAAAAGTGACTTGACATTTTTAAAATTAAGACTTGAGACTTGACTTGGGACTTGACTCGAAAGTGACTTTAGGGACTCAAGACTCAACTTGAGACTTGAATTGTAGTGACTTGAGACTTGACTTGGACTTAACAATGACAACTTGAAGACAATATTGGTTAACCAGCAGGGGCTGAAGCAGCCCCACGGGGTTGGACCTGGCCAGAGCAGCCCCTGTTTGCAGCGGGCTGGACCCAAACACACTGCAGGGGGGGAAGGGGAGGGAGGAAGCTCCAGCCCAGCTCAGCCATCATTTACTCAGTTAACTGGTTAAACATCATCTAAACATAATGTTTAACTGGCTAATTAATTAAATGGAATATTACATCCCAATAGTACACACACACACCTATAGCAAACAGATAAATCAAAGAAGGGAAACAAACTCCACACCCCAACTCCTTTTTAATGCACTTTTAGTTTTCACAGAGCATTATCTATTGATCACAAAAGATGGTCACAAATGAAAAACTCAATTGAAATGAGGGTAGCGGATCCTAGAGGCTTTCTCTGCCCTGAGCAGGAAAAGAGAATACACCTCTCATCTCTGCTCCCTTTTAACCAGTGGTCCGTTTTCTTGTATACCCTCCCCCACTGAACCATATGACCAGCAGGTAGCAATATGGTCACCCTTTGTAGGCTGCATTGCATTTACCATGAAATGTGTATACATATTCCCAGTCCCTTCCCACCTCCTGGAAGATGGCCCTGACAGTCTTCAAGAAGCAAACCTCCCTCATCCTCAAAAAACAGTCTATACTCCTGTGGGTTGGTGTATGATGCGCAGAGAAAGCATAGGGCTGCTAAGCCAGATATTAGCATGACAACTGGCATTGGTCTCCATCATTTGCAGCCATTTCAGAGGGCAATGGTTGGTGATCGAGGCCAAAGGTGATCCAGGAAGTATCTCAAGGCCTTGGCCACCTATATTACTATGTAACCTATAGCAACTAAGGCTACGTCTAGACTAGCCGCAGCTTTCGAAAGAAGATATGCAAATTAGGTGTGAATTTGCATATCTTCCAATCCCTTTTTCAGGAGAGTTTTTTTAAAAAAAGATGAGGTTTTTCACGCGAAAACCCGCTTTTTTGAGAGAACCCTTATTCCTCAAACAATGAGGTTTACAGAGTTTTTTAGAAAAAGTGGGTTTTCGTGTGAAAAATCACATCTAGACTGCTTTTGGGAGGGGGGGAGGGTTCGAAAAAAGCTCTTCTGAAAAAAGGATCAGAAGAAGATATGTAAATTCACGCCTAATTTGCATATCTTTCGGAAGCTGCAGGTAGTCTAGACGTAGCCTAAGTGTGGCACTCTGTCCCCTTCTAGGTCATGTAGAGAGGTCAATGAACCTAGAAGCCAACACTGAGAGGTCTTTTAGCTCAGCTTATAGAGGTCAGTAGCTTTAGATTTGGAAATCCCAGGTTCAGTGCTTGCTGGTGATGATCCACTTAGCGACATGGTGTGACAGGATCTAGCGCTACTTCTGTCTGGGAGAAAGAATTCCCTGCTGAGGTAGAATGCTCCCCATCAACCAGATGCTGGGAAAGCGTTCCTTGCATGGGCATAATTCACTCTTTCACAGCCCCAGCTCACTGCAGAGAATGTTTTGGGTTCCCACATAAGCCAGGGACCAGTGGACATTCTGAGGCGCTTTACTGTGTAGGGTGGTTAGTGAGACTGTGATCATGGAAAACTGGGGTGCAAACATCAATAGTCTCCATGCTGCAGCTCTATAAAGAGGTGCAAAAGCACTGTTTACGGAGACTGCATGACTGCCTCAGGATGGATGCAGTACAACTTTTCCCTCACTACCACAACTGTAGCTGCAAGAACCACAGCAGAACTGATCATTTGAATAACTGACCATTCTGATGCTGGCTGTGGAGTTTTGTATGAAGGATGCTATTGAAAGGCCCAGTCATACTTTGCATGTGAGTAACTAGTCAGGATACATTAGACTTTGGATACAATAATTCTACTGTTGGAGTAGAGGAAAGTTATCTGAGGGCAGGTCTACACTATAAACGTAAGCAGGTGCACTTACAGGCTATGTCTAGGCTACACTGATCTATCAGAAAAAGGTACACAAATTGCGTGCCTTTTTCCGATAGTTTTTTCGGAAGAGGCTTTTCCAAAATTTGGACCACCGGGCCAAATTTCAGAAAAATCTCCTCTTTCTGAAGAGCCCTTCTTCCTCGTGGAAGGAGGAGGACAGGGCTTCCAAAAGAGCACGTCTGCTCTTCCGCAATGACACTTCAGGAGAGGACTTCAGAGTAATCTGACAGAACCTATCAGCTGCTTTCCAGAGGCTTTCAGTGTCACTGGCTGTGCTTTTCTGTCAATTCTTTAGTGCAGGTGATGCAGTGCTCCTATAGCAACAATAAAACTCAAGCTAATAGCCATGCTGATAACACTTAACTTCAGCCTGAGTGGGCTCCTGAAAAAAAATATAACACAAATCAGAGGCCTAATCTTGTGGTTGCTGACAACTTCCGTTGCCTTCTCGGGCTGTTTATATGGTAATGGCTGCAGGATCAGGTTCTGGTAATAACTGTGTTTCTGTGCACAGCTGTCATGTTTATGGCCCTAATCTACATCTTCTCTTTTTACCTGCACATAAAGAATTGATTGTCACCCATTATCTGTTACAACAATTAGGGGGAAGGGGGATCTCTTCATGCAAAGAGGCAGCCAATGCAAATCATGAACATGGCTATTGCTTTACCCAGCGACAGAATATTGACTCTACTGCATATTTGCTTATGTGTCCATTATTTGGGCTGTTTCTTCTGACACAGGCGTCTTTTTCTGAGACTTCCGAGGGTTGTCATAACTAACCAAACAGATGCCCTTAATTGTGTCATAGCTATCCTGCTTTTAGAAGGCGAAGGTGTCTCCTCACAGTATTTATCTCCATGGTTCAATAGGACACATTGCCAATGTCTGTAGGTACATTTAATCCATATGTGGAAGAAGAGGCAGCCAAAGAGCTTGTGAAATATGGACTGCAGGCAGGCGTCACTGATCTTCTACATAAGAGGGGCTGTGGTGTGGTGCTGTGAAGACATGTGAAATGTGTCATGATGCAAGATAAGATAGACCGTCACTTCCTCTTCTTGTGCTTTGTGGGGCTGCACTGCTGAACAGGCTGCATAGTCCACTCTGACAAGCCTACTGCCAAAATGGACCATGAGGTGCTGGGGAGTATTGTCCTTCTAGCCATAGTCAGCCTTATCAGCGTTCTCCAAAATGGTAAGAAAAGAACCATTCGTTTTAGGGGTAAGCTGAGAAAAAGGGAAGAGAATTCTTAGTAACTCTTAGGCATTGAATATGAAATGTAAACTGAACTATTTTAATACGTGTTTTTCTCCTATTGGGTATGGCTCTCTGTGTGAATATGTGTGCATATATGAGCAAACTTGGTTTCTAAACTTTTTTGAGCTCTTTCTCCTGTTAGCATACCATTTTAGTACCTGTGGCTGGTTATACTGGCAGTGACATGTTACTCAATCTTAGGTTTATGATAGTACGTTTATTAAATATATGTCAGTGTTAACAGCCACTATCTGTGCCTCAGTGATATGTCCTAGAGCAGAGACTTAGTTTTGGATATGGAAGAGGTTGAGGATCTGAGTGACTTCCATGAAACATGGATCAGACCCTCAGCTGGTATTAATGAGTATGATTAATTGTACTCTATTGAATTATACTTGCAAAGGTTCTGGTCCGGTTATTTTTTTCAGTTTAACATGTTATCTTACTGTCCTGAAACCCATTCTTCAGCCTGTCGGCTTACTAGTTTTAACCCCTTCATGGGAATGTTACAAATGTCCTTCATTGGAGGAATTCTGTATTTCAGAGCTTATCTTGTTCTTTAGCTCAGTTTCTTCTAAGGTTCTTAAGCTAAACTAAATATTTTTCTTCTGCAAACTTCTTACATGTGACTCATGTCTTACACATATTTAATTCCTAATAAAAAAACGCGACCCAGGATACACACAGATGAGTGACTATTTTTAAAATAATTTCATTTATGTTACCTCAAGTCCAAGGAAAATTGTGCAGGGGCAACCTGAGACATGACTATCTGTTATCCTCATTATGGACCTGAAACAAAGCCCTCTGACATCAGTAGTAAGACAACTAAGGTGTTCAATGGGCTTTGGATCAGGCACCACTTGCAGTTTTAGGAACCAAAATCATGTGGCAGGGGCAGATTGTCCTTGAGCTGTTTATTATGGCAGAGGCGGTGGGTGCATACTATCACAGCTACAACATTCAGAGAGAAAATGCAACAGAGCAGTAATGGTGCTTGGGATCCTGCAGAGAGCTCTTATCTCTCACAAAATAAATGTGTTTGTGGTTTGCATTCAAATTCTGCCTTCAGTTGAAGGCACTAAGCGTTTGCAGGAACAGGTTTTTATATTATGGTTTTGATGCAGGGATGGTGCCTTACCCTGTTTTGTACACCACTGGGCACACCCATAAGAACATAAGAACAGCCGTACTGGGTCAGACCAAAGGTCCTTTTAGCCCAGTATCCTGTCTGCCGACAGTGGCCAGCACCAGGTGCCCCAGAAAGGGTGGACCGAAGACAATGATCAAGCGATTTGTCTCCTGCCATCCTTCTTCAGCCTCTGACAAACAAACAGAGGCCAGAGACACCAATTCTATCCCCTGGCTAATAGCCTTTTATAGACCTAACCTCCATGAAATTATCTAGCTTCTCTTTAAACTCTGTTATAGTCCTAGCCTTCACAGCCTCCTCTGTCAAGGAGTTCCACAGGTTGACAACACGCTGTGTGAAGAAGAACTTTCTTTTATTAGTTTAAACCTGCTACCCATTAATTTCATTTGGTGTCCTCTAGTTCTTCTAGTATGGGAACTAATAATTAACTTTTCTTTATCCGCCCTCTCCACACCACTCATGATCATATCCTCCCTCAGTCTTCTCTTTTCTAAACTGAAGAGTCCCAGTCGCTTTAACCTCTCCTCATATGCGACCCGTTCCAAACCCCTAATCATTTTAGTTGCCCTTTTCTGAACCCTTTCCAAGGCCAAAATATCTTTTTTGAGGTGAGACCACATCTGACCACAGTATTCAAGATGTGGGCGTACCATAGTTTTATACAGGGGCAGTAAGATATTCTGTGTCTTATTTTCTATCCCTTTCTTAATAATCCCTCCCATCCTATTTGCCTTTTTGACCGCCGCTGCACACTGTGTGGAAGTTTTCAGAGAACTATCCACGATAACTCCAAGATCTTTCCTGATTTGTCATAGCCAAATTAGCCCCCATCATACTGTACCTATAGTGGGGGTTATTTTTCCCAATGTGCATTATTTTACACTTATCCACATTAAATTTCATTTGCCATTTTGTTGCCCAATCACTCAGTTTGGTGAGATCTTTTTGGAGTCTCTCACAGTCTGCTTCTTGACAAGTAGATAACCATCATTAATAGTGGTTGAGAATTCACACTTCATGGCAGAATTTGGTAATCAAGGCATACCCATCTGTAGATGTGCCCAGCAATGTTCCCTCTAATCTTTTCCGTCCACATGCAGAATAATGTTTTTATGTGTACAGAGGCATATGCAAATGTGCACCACCAGTGGAAACAAAAACTGAGCTGTGAGCTGTCTGCTAATCAGCTGGGCAGCATTTGAAACGCTCTTGAGGGGTCACACAAATGCACAATGTAAAAGCAACACTGGTGCCCTGGTATCTTTCCAGTTATTTCATCAGAGGTGTTTGTGGAGACATAATGCGAAGACCAACACTTTCAATACTATTCCTTTACTTACCCCATCCAAGAAACTTATCTGTTGCCATTCCACTCCATGCACATTTTTATAGCATTGAAATCTGAACATCAGACTATTGATCCAAATCATTGGGTCTGACAAGAACAATGCTTGGCACAGGATCCTGGGTAAAAGAGGTTGGGGTCAAGAAGCACACATGGTTTGAAAGCCATTTTTCCTTTGCCCTGTTCCTCGGGGCAGCTCTGGTGCAAGTTAGAACTGCTTAAGGGGTGCTATGGTCGCACTCAATATAGCTCTCTGAGCAGTGGTGTGGTTAGTGTGTAGTAGATCTCTACAGGTGAAGCAGTCCCTTCATCCTCTTTGCTCCACAAAGTGTCACAAAGGAGACGTAGCAGGAACCCAGGTGTGTAACCTGGGTATATGTGTATAAAATAAATGAAATGATGATAAAAGAGGTAAAGTGAGTGGAATTTGCATTTCATACCCGAAACCAACACTTCTCCGTGTATACCTAGTAGTCATCCAAAGGAAGATGGGATTCCTTGGAAGGTGTTCAGATGTTATTAGCATACATTCAGCGCATGCTACATTTTGCCCTTGTGTGCAACTCCCAATGGTCCTTTGTGTTTTGTGACAGCTGTTTGCCGCTAGTCAAGGGCAGTGTATGGGCAAACTTATAAACTTTCCTCCTCCCCCGCAATCTATAGTGTTTTTTGCACCTGGGCTGATAGCCCTATAATGAGAGTAATGACAAATGTAGGAAAGAATAACTTATAGGAATATGAAATTTAAAAACAAGCAACCCCGATATGAGAAGCTGTGTTAGTGTTCCGACTCAGCAAAGCTGTTAGGCATATTTGCGTGGTTCCATAAGAAATCAGTTTGACACAGAAATATAAAAAAAAATCCTGTTTCCCTGTACAGCAGTAATAACGTACATAGAATCATAAACTCATCAAACTAGAAGGAACCTCAAGAGGTCATTAAGTACAGTTCACTGCACTCATGGCAGGATCAGACATCAGTTTGTCTATCCTGCTCTTAAAAATCTACAATGATCTTGAAAACCTCTCTAGGCCATTTATTCCAGTGCATAACCTCCCTGATAGGAAGTTTTTCCTAATATCCAACCCTAACCTCCCTTGCTGCAAGTTAAGCCCATTGCGTCTTGTCCTGTCCTCAGAGGTTAAGGACTTATTTTGTGCCTTGGCCTTTTTAATTTGGCCCTACATACCGTACTTGTGTTATTTGTTTATATTCATCCTTTGTAATTTGGTCTAGTTTCCACTTTTTGTAGGACTCTCTTTTGATTTTTAGATCATTGAAGAGCTCCTGGCAGGTCTGCCAAGAGAGGGGGGACAAAGAGGGCAATTGCTCTGGGGCCTGGTGATACAAAAGGGCCCAGAACTCCTGGAATTTTAAATCTCTGACGGAGTGCTGCACAGCATGTTCTGCGCAACAACGAGGGCTGTCTGGGGAAGGTGTGGCACTTCCTGGGTAGCACTGAGAGCAGCCTAGCCCCTGCCCTGCCCCTTCTGCCTGAGACCACCCCCCTTCCAGGAATGTGGCATAACTTCCTTCCCCTCTCTCCCCTCCCCCGTCTTGCCCAAGGGCCTGGCAAGGCTGTGGACTCTGATGTCTCCTGCTTAAGCCAGGGTGATCTCTTTCCATATTTCCTAGTTTTCTTACACAGTGGAGAAGTTTTGTTCTTGTGCCCTTAATAATGTCTCTGAAAAAATGCCAACCGTCTTCCATTGTTTGCTCCCTATGCAACCTTACCTACTAGCTCCCTGAGTTTGCTAAAATCTGTCTTCTTGACGTCCATTGTCTTTATTTTGCTGTTCTCCATGCTACTGTTCCTTAGAATCATGAGCACTATCATTTCATGGTCACTTTCACCCAAGCTGCCTTCCATTTTCAAATTCTCATCCAATTCCTCCCTATCTATCAAAATCAAATGTAGAACAGCCTCCACTAGGATAGGGATGGGCAAAAGGGCCTCCATGGGCTGGATCTGGCTCATCAGGAGGGTTGAGGTTGGGATTATTTTTTCCAATGTGCATTACTTTACATTTAGCAACATTACATTTCATTTGCCATTTTGTTGCCCGATCATTTAGTTTTGTGAGATCTTTTTGAAGCTCTTCACAATCTGTTTTGGTCTTAACTATCTTGCATTCCTCTTAAAATCAGGAATAAGGGATCTTTCGGAAAAGAGTTTATTTTCCGAAAGATCCCATCTACACTGGTGCTTTTCTCCGGCAAAGCCCCGAGCCAGAAAAAAGCGGCAGCCATGTTTATACAAATGAAGCAGGGGATATTTAAATCCCCCGCTTCATTTGCAATTCCGACTTGTCTCATCTGCATCCCTTTTCCGGAAAAGGGGTGCAGTGTAGACACAGCAAAGGAATAATGTTCATCTAAGGTTGCTGAAGATGTCTATCTTGATTTTCTTTGGTAGATCCCCTTTGTCCAAATAATGCTGTTAAGGATATAACTAAGCTCTTTGGGCTAAATACTGCTCTTACACCTATATAGTCCCATAGATGTTAGTTAATCTGCATGTGTAGTAGGGATACAGAATTAACCCCCTTTGTCTCTCTTAGTGCATAAAAGGGCATAATTTGGATTCCAAACTGCAACTTGCCAGATGAGCGTTCAGTCTAAATTCTACTGGAATGAATTCTCACTCTCTACAGTGCATATGAAAACTATTTGAATGCATAGATTTGTTTTCTCATCTTTTATTTGTGCTTTTTTTCCCAGTGAGAGCTATTAAAACTAAAATGCTTATATTATGCTGGAGCGCATATCTTCTGCTTGCTTGACCACCAGTCCAAAAAAAAAAATTCTGAGTCAAATTCAGTCAAATGTAACCTAGAGATGCAGTAATTCCCATTGTTGTCAAGGGTTAAATTTGGACCAAAGAGCATTGGGGGTACCATAGACATAAATACAAGTGGACATAGGAGAGATAAGAATGCGTAAGCTTACTTCCTCCTACATTGTTTTCTCTGTTACATCCCCTACCTTCTTTCCATTCCCTATGGGCATGAAGTGCTCTATTGGCACTCACTGAATGCCAGTTGATGCATGCTGAATAACTTTGCCACTTACACCCCTTTATACAAAATTATATCTCATATGTTATTTTAATATTTAAATTGCAAATGAATTTGGCCTAGAGACATCCCCAGGAATTGCATCTGCTTCCTGGAGGCTGAATCTGACTGATGGTTTTTGACCATTGACCTCAACTCGGACAGAGATGCTCCACCATAACAACATAAGCATTTAAATTTTAATAGCTGTCTCTTAAAAAATAAAAAGAAAAGATAGGGCAACACATATCTTGCCCATCCCTGACAAGTGTTTGTCTAACTTGCTCTTAAAAATCTCCAATAATGAATACTTGAAAACCTCTCTAGGCCATTTATTCCAGTGCATAACCTCCCTGATAGGAAGTTTTTCCTAATATCCAACCCTAACCTCCCTTGCTGCAAGTTAAGCCCATTGCGTCTTGTCCTGTCCTCAGAGGTTAAGGACTTATTTTGTGCCTTGGCCTTTTTAATTTGGCCCTACATACCGTACTTGTGTTATTTGTTTATATTCATCCTTTGTAATTTGGTCTAGTTTCCACTTTTTGTAGGACTCTCTTTTGATTTTTAGATCATTGAAGAGCTCCTGGCAGGTCTGCCAAGAGAGGGGGGACAAAGAGGGCAATTGCTCTGGGGCCTGGTGATACAAAAGGGCCCAGAACTCCTGGAATTTTAAATCTCTGACGGAGTGCTGCACAGCATGTTCTGCGCAACAACGAGGGCTGTCTGGGGAAGGTGTGGCACTTCCTGGGTAGCACTGAGAGCAGCCTAGCCCCTGCCCTGCCCCTTCTGCCTGAGACCACCCCCCTTCCAGGAATGTGGCATAACTTCCTTCCCCTCTCTCCCCTCCCCCGTCTTGCCCAAGGGCCTGGCAAGGCTGTGGACTCTGATGTCTCCTGCTTAAGCCAGGGTGATCTCTTTCCATATTTCCTAGTTTTCTTACACAGTGGAGAAGTTTTGTTCTTGTGCCCTTAATAATGTCTCTGAAAAAATGCCAACCGTCTTCCATTGTTTGCTCCCTATGCAACCTTACCTACTAGCTCCCTGAGTTTGCTAAAATCTGTCTTCTTGACGTCCATTGTCTTTATTTTGCTGTTCTCCATGCTACTGTTCCTTAGAATCATGAGCACTATCATTTCATGGTCACTTTCACCCAAGCTGCCTTCCATTTTCAAATTCTCATCCAATTCCTCCCTATCTATCAAAATCAAATGTAGAACAGCCTCCACTAGGATAGGGATGGGCAAAAGGGCCTCCATGGGCTGGATCTGGCTCATCAGGAGGGTTGAGGTTGGGATTATTTTTTCCAATGTGCATTACTTTACATTTAGCAACATTACATTTCATTTGCCATTTTGTTGCCCGATCATTTAGTTTTGTGAGATCTTTTTGAAGCTCTTCACAATCTGTTTTGGTCTTAACTATCTTGCATTCCTCTTAAAATCAGGAATAAGGGATCTTTCGGAAAAGAGTTTATTTTCCGAAAGATCCCATCTACACTGGTGCTTTTCTCCGGCAAAGCCCCGAGCCAGAAAAAAGCGGCAGCCATGTTTATACAAATGAAGCAGGGGATATTTAAATCCCCCGCTTCATTTGCAATTCCGACTTGTCTCATCTGCATCCCTTTTCCGGAAAAGGGGTGCAGTGTAGACACAGCCATTATGTTCATCTATGTCTGACAATTTTATTCTTTACTAAAGTTTCTACTAACTTATCTGGTACTGATATTAAATTTACCAGTCTGTAATTGCCAGAATCACCTCCAGAGCCCTTTTTAAATACTGGCATCACATTAGCTATCTTCCAGTCATTAGGTACAGACGCTGATTTAAAAGATAGGTTACAAACTACTGTTAATAGTTCCACAAATTCACATTTGAGTTCTTTCAGAACTCTTGGGTAAATGCCATCTGTTCCCGGTGACTTGTTACTGTGTAGTTTATCAATTTGTTCCAAACCTCCAATAATGACACCTCAATCTGGAACAATTCCAGCACCTATACTATACTAGTAAATTTAAATTTGTGTGCATTTATAAATTAGCAAAATTAAAAGGTGGGGCAGTGATGAAGTACAAAAGAAAAATCTGTTCCACTTTTTGTAAGGATTCATGGTAGAGGTACTTTGAGATCCAACATGAGCCCAAAACAATTCAGGGGAAAGTGTTGGAGATGACCGTACCATGCATGTGGAACACAGTTTACCAATACCCACAAGCCAAATCCTCCACTTCCTTCTCAGCTTTTTTCACTCCTTACTCAGAGGAACTTTCACTGTTAATGGAAATTTCCCTGAGTAAGGGCTAGATAAAAGCTGAATATAATGGCCACTCAGATCCTTGTTTCCACCCAAATGAATGACAATGGGACTCTACCACAGATTGTTCACTGTGGTATAGCTAAGCTTTGATCATCACTCTAGTAGTTAGGGCCATTTCATCTGCAGTTGCCTGCCATAACAAAACCAGCTCAAATCATCCCTATTGTTACTCCATCCTTGGGACTGTGCTGTGACTAGTAATCCCACATGAGATAAAGGGCCCAAAATCCTCCTTTCTAGTATATCACTAGAGAAGGGATGGATTCCCTCAGATCTCCATAAAATCTAACTTCTCCAATGAGAGGTGAGTGTTGAGCTTTACAGACTGAGTTGGGAGCATGAAGGGTAACTCAGGAAGATTTGTGCATGTTACCCCAATTTGAATGTGGAGCTGAGTGACGTGGAGACAAAGTAGCAAATAAACTTTTTCTTTTGTGAGCACTGGGCTCAGAAATGATCCCCCCAGATCCCCTCAGAAAAAGATGTAGGCACTTTCGCAGGGACCACATGTTACATATGTGAACTAAATTGCTTGGTTAAACCTAGGTGAGAATGTGTTGGCCCAAATTCTGCTCCTGTTTACACCAGCCCACCCTTCTGGTGTCAAGAGAAGCTCATGGCAGTCAAATGAAGAGCACAGCCTATTATACTGAGCATGCACGATGTGTCCAGATTAACCCTCAGAACAAACCCTTCCTTTATTTAACAGCCTTTTTTGCACACAAAGTGGAGCATGAAAGCAAGAGCTACAATGGCAAGAGTTTACAGCGGACTGGATCTTCTGCCTTTGAACGCGTCTTCACTGCCAAGTGAGTATGCAAATCAAGGGGGGGGAGGGCATTCCCTGTTGAGTTTAATCTTTGCCTTCACTTGTGACTTGATCCAAAGTCCACCGAAGCCAATGGGAAGGCTCTCATTGACGTCACTCAGGCCCTCGTGGTTTGTTAGCATGATCATTTATTATATAATTGTGTCTTGAGGTTCCAACCAAGATCAGGAATCTATAGCAGTTGCTGTACAAACACATAATAAGAGACTCCCTGCCACAGAGTCTATAGTGTAAAGAGGCAAGATAGAGGCACAGAGAGATGATCATATATACAAGAGGTCAAAGGCAAAGATGGGAATAGAATTCTGGTCTCTGGAATCCCTGACCAGTGTTCTAGCCATGATGCTTTGCTTTTGGGTCACTCCTGATTGTCGTCTTTGAAAAGGGGAATTTCATGACCACCTAAAAAAGAAAAGAAAATTAAATAATGATTTATTATTTGCTAAGCATTGACAATGTGCTCTGTTCTTCAAAATACATTAAAATACTCCCCTGTGTGGGGGTGTATCCCAGGATGTATAAAGGAATATTTTCCCAGTGACATCCCCTTATGAACAAAGTGGCCTAGATAATTCCTTTTTGTTAAGCTATAGAAAAAACAACAGGCAGATTTTACAAGAGCCTCATCTTTTCTGTGATTCCCATCCTCGCTTTTCCCTTATTGAGTTTCAAGTACCAATAATGTGATTAATATGGATTGGGCCTACCAAATTTGCCCACGCTGACACAATGCACTGGGCATTTACCTGATTAATTGTGGCAGAGAAGGAGATGGATTTTACACACGCCCTCCTCTTTGCACTGTTGTCTACTTCTGATGTGGTGAATAGATGCCAAGCTGCCACCTCCCGTTGTTCTGAGGTAACAAGGAGATAAATCTCCAGATGTAAGTTGGTAGTTGTATTTCTGATGCAGAAGGATATTTTTCCTGTTTTCAATATATTTAACTCCCCTTTGTTAATTCCTTCCTAGCCAAAACTGCAGAGATGCATACCCGACGTTTCTTGTTGTGCTTTGGTGTGCTGGACTGCTTTGTAGCCAAGGTAACACATAATTCAGCTCCTTCTCAATATATAAGCATATATAATTTGTGAGTCTTCTGAGTGTCAAGTTTACTATTATCTTTAAAAAGGCTTCTGACTGGACCCCTCCCCTTCTCAGGCTTCAGCAAGGGACAGACTGAGGTTACTCTGCCTGAGTGCAGAGAGGAAACGTCTGCAGCTTTGAGTTGCTAATGTATTTGCCATTCCCTCTCCTGTATATTACATTACAAACAGGGATGGATCACGGTTGAATATGGCCCAGATTGGTCAGTGCCAAAATCATTCTTACTGGGTAGCAGAATCTATCAGCCAGGAGGAAAAAACCATCCAGTTCCTAGCTGTGGGGTGGTGGAGACAGGTGAAGGTTTCTACGGGAAGCCAGGTTATTTGGAGAGCCCCTGTCAGAGCACAGGGCCTGGAACAGCCAATCCATTCAATCATCCTGGAAGAACACTGCCAGAGATGATTAGTGCTGTCAGGCTGCTGCAGGGAAATTGTGCCCAGCATGGTGGGCTGTTTGTGAAAGCTTCATCGCTCACTGCTGCCTTCTAAGCTAGCCTGAGCACCCCGTTCAGCAAACTGCTTACTCATGTACTTAGAATTAAGCATTTGCGTAACAGTCCCATTCAGTTCAGTGAAAGTATTCATATGATTAAAGTCCAGCGCACACTTGAGTGCCTTGCTAAACCAGGGTTGTCATTGTTTGTGGGTGAAGGAAGTCTCAGGGCTGGCGTCAAGTAGGTGCGTGGCCTGTTGGCCTGGGAAAAGCCAGTATTAAAACACAATCAAAGAAAACCTTTTTTTGTGCTAAAAACTGAATTTTGGACCACAATACAGTGCCTGGCCTGCTACTGGGGCAGTGTAGTGGCCTACTGCACCCTCTCCCCCTCCAGCCCCCCCACTCCACATAGGTCTTCTGAGGAAAACAAAATATACACCAAATAGTCTGTATATATTGGACACGAGCAGCACAGCGCTAACTGAGGAGCACAATATCACCCTGTATGGGGGCCTAGCATTGGTTCTCATGCTGGTACATTCCTATTTCCTTTAGTGGGCATAACTGAGGACAGAATTTGGGCCACCATGTTTTCTGTGAAAGGTGAAGGGAAATATTGTGGAATTCACCACGGAATTTATTTTCTTCAGTTTCTGGGTCCCACCGCTTGTCATGCTTCTCAAAATACAGGCTTCCCTCAGGTCCCCCATCTAGCATGAACTGCCATATAGACCTCCAGATAATGAGGCCTACATGGAACACTTATATGGTAACTAGGGTTTCCAACCCTTCAGGATTGGCCTGGAGTCTCCTGGAATTGGAATCAATCTCCTGGTGATTACTGAAAACAACCCTGGAGATTTTATTAGATATTTTTTTAAAAAATGACATTATGTCAAGTTAGGGAAAAAAATCTCCTGGAATAGCTCCCGTCAGAGTTGGCAACCCTAATGGAAGCTTGTAATGTGTGTTGCTTTATCTTCCTTTCAGCTGCTGCTGCCTTTGCTGGATTGATATACCTGTTTGTGAGGCAAAAGTACTTTGTTGGCTACCTGGGAGAGAAGACACAAAGGTAAGGATTCCCGGATGCTCTGTACAAGTGTTTTGGGTGACACATGTTTCCATTGGTAGGGTATCTTGTCACCCTTCTTGTTCAATATGTACAGGGGTACATTTTCACTGCAGAGTTAGCTTGAGTTATCTGCACTCGAGTTACTCCCCTCCAGTAAGTCTAGCTCAAGTGTTAGCAGTCGTATAGTGAAGTAACACTGGAGTTGCCGTGTCCACACTGGCACTACATTCACTCATTTGTGGCACTAAGACTTCTGAGGGCCTGATTTTTCTATCCTCTTACTATTCTTCTCTTTGCTAATAAAGCAAAACTCTGGGAACAGGGGAGTTTGGACTCACACACGTCATGGACTGTGTTTGCAGAGCAGGTGGGGGAAAGGCTCCTGCTTTCAGTGATATTTCAGTGCATGTTTGTGGTATTGTCTCTTCCCATTTGCAAAGTGATAGAACAGGGGTCTTTTCTCCCATTGATGTCCACCCAGCTTCTATTAAGGTTAATGTAATAGCCACGTGACCACATAGATCTTACAGAACATTAAAATGCAAGATAATTGAATTGGATTTTAAGTTTGATCAGTGACACGTATCTTTAATGGCTAAGACACATGTCGCTTAAATGACGGACTCTGTAGTGAGAAGCATGAATTGAACACTGTGGGCCTGATCTAATTTACACTTGTGCATCTTTGCTGACATTAAAGGGGTTGAAAAGGTGCAAGTCAATGACGAATTTGGCCCATGTATCTGAGCACTTGAGAGCTATTTGAATTGGTCTGAAGGATGGTAAGGGAGGATGAGCACTTACCAAGCAGGGTGATAAGTCTTGATACATTACTTTTCTTTCTCTCTTTCTCCCCAGCACTCCTGGTTACATATTTGGAAAACGCATCATATCATTCCTGTTCCTTATGTCTGTTGCTGGGATCCTCAACTATTACCTGGTCATCGTCTTTGGAAGCGATTTTGAAATGCATATAAAAACCATAACCAACACCATCTCCCCACTGCTACTCATACCTTAATTCTTCTCAGTGGTAGTGGTGCAGTGTGCTTTACTGATGAGTAGCCAAAAGCAGCTATATGTCAACTGTTGTAGAAATAAACCTACACACCCTTTCAGACTGCTGTAAATCTAAGGCTTTAATGGGCTTTGTCATTTTATTTAACCTTTTTTCTACAGTGAAATGATTTATTGTGAACAGTGTGCCCTAGGAAGGGTAATAACTTCCAGATCATTCTTCAGATTAAATAAGTGGAAAAATCCCATCCCCCAAACCATTTCAGGCAGAACAAAACATTCCATTCTGATTTCAAGCACATTTTAACAGTTTTAATCTAAAAAAAATAAACTAAAATAAAATTGAAGACAATCCCAAAAAGAAAAATCATTTTGAAAGGCAAATTCAAACTGTTTCCTTTCAAAACTACTGAAACAAAACTCATCGACATTTTTGGATATTTTTTTATACAAAGCAACTGGGGAAACTGAAATGAATTTGCAGTATGTTCTGGTGTCTCTGAATCTTCATTTTTCAGCCAAAAACCATTTTGGGTGAATTTCATTCAGCTTTCAAACCCAGAGCTCAGTCTTGCGACGCTCACAGATACACAATGTTCATTGCAGTCAGTGGGAACCATACCCCCAGTAGTGCACCACAGCAGATTGAGATTGATTATTATTTACACAAAGTAAGTTGCCAGAGCAGGGTAAATTGCCAGAGGAGTGTAAAGGTGCCTTAGTGGAAATGAGACTCCATTATCTCTGAGGTTGTTTTTGTTTTGGTTTTAATAAAGCAATCTAAAAAGATGAAAGCAGTTTGTTGTGTCATCTTCATTTAGTGCTTGATCCATGCATGACAAAACTCCCAATGAAAGGCAGGAGCAGGACTGATCCTTCATTGCAAACTAATAGCTATGAGCACAGATTTAACACTGCCTGCTCCGTTCCCTGCTAACAACTCTTTTAACATGTCCCTACAAGTCAATATCAAGGGATGGTTTGCTTAGAATCCAACATAAGCTTAAGCCAGGGGTGGGGAACCTCAGGCCCAGGGGCTGGATGCAGCCCCCAACTTGCCTGGATCTGACCCCCAAGGCTCAGAGCTCCCCCCAGCTTTGGGGAGCCCGCACTGGCGCTTCAGCCCCCTGCTGCACCACCACAGGACTGGAGCACACAAAATCTACTAGCTTGGGCTCCCCTAGGCTCTGGTGTATGCAGGGAATGTGGAGTGTCTCCTTCTCACTCGGGGCACATCAGTGAGGGTTTGTTTTGTTTTTGTTTTTTGCTTCTCAACTGTGTTTGGCTCCCGACTGATTTTTCTGTGTGTCAGCGGCCCCTGACCCAAAAAAGGTTCTCTATACCCAGCTGAAGCTCTCCAGTCTGACTGATAAAAGGCATTCATATTTATAGGTCCCCTAGGAGGGGCAGAGACTACTTGCTGTGGGGAGGGGAGAGATTGTGAGTGAGCAGTCTCTGGGAATCCCCAGAAAGAAGCTCTCTCTCTCTCTCTCTCTCGCTCGCTTTTATTCTCATCCAAATGCTTGACTTAGAAGCTTCTAAAGGACTAATGTACAAATGTAATATTTTCCTTGTTTATGGGGGAGAGCTCTTTGACTTTAAACATTTAACACCATTTTACTTATAAAATATGTTATGATCTCTTTAAAAGCAGTCTGAGGTGTCTGTGCATCTAACCGCTTGCAGTACCATCACACTACATAATATTTTTCTCCCACTTATATGCAGGAATTTTAAATGTTAACTTATTGATTCACACCAGAACAGAGTGGATAAATATTGATCATACATAATCTAAACACTTTGAGCTTACAGCTCTGAAAAATTTACTTCTTCCTGGTATAGTGTAAATATTTATTTCCCTTCCTTAGCTTCAAAACTTCATTGGCACTCTTCAGATAACAGTTTAGTCAGATTTTCTGCTGCCCCATACTTCAGTTTCAGAGATGCTGTCACATCATTAGGGGTGAGGATTCATGGGGGCTGTGTCTAGACTGGCAAGTTTTTCTGGAAAATCATCTGCTTTTCCGGAAAAACTTACCAGCTGTCTACACTGGCCGCTTGAATTTTCGGAAAAGCACTGACGATCTCATGTAAAATCATCAGTGTTTTTCCGGAAAAATTATGCTGCTCCCATTTGGGCAAAAGTCTTTTTCCAAAAGACTTTTGTGCAAAAGGGCCAGTGTAGACAGCATAGTACTGTTTTCCGCAAAAAAGCCCCAATTGTGAAAAAGGCGATCGGGGCCTTTTTGCGGAAAAGCGCGTCTAGATTGACCACGGACACTTTTCCGCAAAAAGTGCTTTTGCGGAAAAGCATCCTGCCAATCTAGACGCGCTTTTCCGAAAATGCTTTTAACGGAAAACTTTTCCGTTAAAAGCATTTTCAGAAATTCATGCCAGTGTAGACGTAGCCTAACTGTGTTGCAGAAGGTACACGCTTTTGGGCTTTGTCTTCACTACAAAATTCTACCATTAGAATACAGATGTGAAGAGGTAAGTTAGCCAACATGATGCTGATAATGACTTTGTGGTCAGTAGAAAGGACAGTTCGTGTTCTGCACAGTGTTGGGTAGTTATGGTTAAAGTCTACTGGGACTGGGATTTAACCAAGCAAGGCATGGACAAGGTGGAACATGCCTAGTTAGAAGTATACATTTTTAATTATTTTTAGAGGTGGACTGGAAACCTTGGGCTTCCCCACTCCACTGCAGCTGGTAACACCAATATAGAAAGTGAACTTGTTCTCACTGAAGTCCGTGGCCAAACATAGATGGTCCTCACAGGGACTGAAGTGATGGCCATCAGTCTGACAATTATTTATCTTACACGTAAATCAGCACCTTTCTGGGAGCAAAAGAAATGAAATGTGGGAGAGACCTAACACCCACAAGGATTCTGACAATGGTCACAAACACATAAGAGGCCCTGAGCTCATTATGTAAATTCTGCTGTCTGGTGCATTCTGTTTTTCATTTCCAGGTGCAGCTTTAATTGTTTTAGCCTTTTCCTATTTCTGTAAAAAGAAGGCAAATGTCATTGTTATTCAGACTCTCCTTGCATAACTAGAGATCTGTAGTGGGTTTTGTTTTCTTCCCCTTCTCCCTCCCCTACAGTCAAACACCTCCTTTTCTAGAGTGGGCATGCTATAGCATCACTTGTAACGAATTCTTAGAAAGGCTGAAGCACCAGGCTGCATACAGAAATGTGCACTGTCTGCGTGCACATACAATCATCAAAACAACCTATGTCCATCAGGTATGAAGCTAGTTTGGCTTGGCAAAGGGCCAATGTAACCTGTACCTTCAGGCTTTTTGAAAATCTGGCTTTAAAAAATTAAAGGCTAAAAATTAGCTATCAAACCATGATAAATATCAAACCATCTGGTGACTGTATACATGCACTCTCTGAATCTTTTACTGTACTACAAAGTGGTCGTAGAGTTAACTGTCAACTCACACGGGCTGAAATTGAGGCTATAGGAAGTTGGTCTTGTTCTGACGGGAAGTTGCAGCACAAACAGTGAAAAGATTATAGTAGAAAACTCTGGCCTTATAGAACAATACTCCTCTGAGAATTCCTAAGAGAATAAAGATTTGCCCACCCTGGTGCTAAGCCCACTTGAAGTTCCTAATGTTTTTATTAATGCAGCCAAGTTCAGTTCAGTTGCTTCCAAAGGCAGGCTCCAATGCCTTCCAGGAGCTACTGATGCTACTCACTCCCAAAATAACTATTTTGAAATAAGCTTATACCCCAAGGAAAGCAGGAGTTATTATTTAGAAATAACCAGCCTCATTATTTTGAAATAGCAGACTTGGTAGTGTGGATGCTCCACTTGTTATTTTGAAATAAGGAGAGTTATTTCAAAATAACTCCCTAGTGTAGATCAGGGCTTACCGAGATCTAAATTTTGGGTAACAATTGATTTCAATGGAGGTATCTGCAATCAGACCCATGTTACTAAGGTCACAAACTGGCCCGTACCAGCCAACAGGTACCAACTTCTCTCTTACCATGGAAGAGGAAGGAAGGACATAGCTGAAAATATGAAACACTGTGAAAATTATGATAATTGATGTGGAGAGTCTGCCTTCTACTCACAGCAAATTCAATACCACATGCTTTTAAATAGTGCTTTGGACATTTCCAGGATTTAGCCATACACCTAAACCCAGGACAGGATGAGCAGCTATAAGAGATCTATATCTGTATCTGTCAATCAACGGGTGTGCCATGTAAAAGCAAACATATTTATTAGCAGGGCTCGCCAAACCGCGGCGAGCCCCACTCGCCAGCCGTGCTGTCCAGCGATCTGCACATGCGCAGATCGCCCGAACCTGGCTTTTCCGGGTTACAATCTACTCGCCACGGGTGAGTAGACTGTATTATTTGTCAAGCCTTGTTTATTAGGGTATAAGCTTTTGTGAGATACAGCTCAATTCCTTAGATGCTTGAAGTAAAAGAAAGGTAGGGATGCAGAGATGGGAGTGTAACATCAGTGCTAATTAAATCACAGTGGATGTGCTCATTTCCAATGGTGATGAGAAAGTGAGAGTATCTGAAGGGGAAATGACTCATTGTAATGAGAGAGCCATTCCATGTCTCTATTCAGACCCTTTCTGATGGTGTCAAATTTTCATAGGAATTCCAACTCAGCAGTTTTGCATTGTAGTCAGTTTTGGATTTCCCACCCCCAGGAATAGAATCTTGCAAGTTTGTAACTCTGTCCAGGGAGATTAACGTCTTCCCTCACTGGTTTTTGTATGATTCCATTCTTGAGGTCTGAGCGTCTTCCATTGGTGTTTTTATTTGCATTACCGTAGCGAGTCAAGGATCCAGGTCTGAGGAAGATAGCCACCTACAATGGCCATACAACCTTATTCTTTTTTTCTCCGTAGAGGAGAAATAAATAACCCACTTCCAGTGATAAAGGTCTTCCCATCTTGAGGGCACATTTGGAAGTGCTGCTTTGTGCAGCTAAGAGATTTCATTATCAGAGCCTTACTTCTTATTGGCTACCAGAAATGTGCAGATGCCATCTAGTGGGTGTCTGTGATATGGCAGGAAAACAGCAGCAAAGGAGACAGGATCACCAGATAGCTCAGTGGTAGTCTGTGGTGTGAAGAGGGCAGATTATTTTTCATACATCTCATTACAAAGAGTGAAAGTTTCGTTTTAGCCAATTTCAAGAAAATGGGAACATTATAACTTTACACTGAGCTGTGTCTGCAATTTGCAAATGGCAAAAATTGTTTGTACACGTGTCTTCCATTGGCCTACAGACTCCTTGGGTTGAGCTCCCCTATACCTATTATATTATTTAGCTGTGCTGCAGGAACACTTAGAGGCCACATTGTACTAGACACTGTGCAAACATATACAAAGAGACAGTCCCTGTGGCATCTTCTGTCTGGTTGCCTTGAAGTTCTATCACTTCTTGGCGGGCGGTTTGTGGTGTGAGAATTAGGTTAAACTGGCTTGTGGCCTACTTATATCTGCTCCTCACCCACATGCACTACAAATCCTATCAGTGTTTAAGCCTATGGAAATATTTTGGGGTCAGTAAAGTATGTGAGGGCTGATTAGCAGCCAGCCATCTGTCTAGCCCCAGAAGCTTCATTTACGCTGGTGCAAGTCTGTGTGGTTAACACGTCTTGTGATTCATACAGTGCAGGGCTCAGGGTACTTTACATTTGCTTAGTCTTCATGAAATTCAGGAAAAATTAAGCTAAATAATTGCATGCAGCCCAAATCCACTGGCTCACCTACATTGGAGAAAAGGGGTGTGAGGAG